AGAAGAAGAAGAAGAAGAAGAAGAAGAAGAAGAAGAAGAAGAAGAAGAAGAAGAAGAAGAAGAAGAAGAAGAAGAAGAAGAAGAAGAAGAAGAAGAAGAAGAAGAAGAACAGGGCAGAAAATGGGTGAATGACATCCCGGTCAAAATCTTCAGCCAGCTATCCAGTGGATATACAGTGGGTGTAAAACTAATACATCTGCATCTCTCTAAGTCATTTTTGTTTTTTTAAGTGCTGTTGTAACATGAGAACACTATTATATGAAGATCACAAATGTAGACAAGATCCTGACAAGACAACGTAAGCCTTGGTCATGTTAGAGGACAATGCATGCCCAAAGTTGTAATGTGCCATAAAACTGAGTATATTAAAGTCAACTGTCATAAGCCGCAGTAGTGCAGTGGAGAGAAAACCTGCATGTCGACTCGGATCTGTACCGAAACAGGTATTTAAAACTGACTAAGGATACCGGGAGGACTTAGACTTAAATGGGATTCGTAACATATAGAAAATATCCCTAGACTTAAATGGAATTCGTAATATATAGAAAATATCCCTAGACTTAAATGGGATTCGTAACATATAGAAAATATCCCTAGACCACATTCCCCTTGGGGTGGGGGAGATAGCGGGGGTGGGAAAAAGGGGGGGGGGGTGTTCGGCTGTTGTAGCAAGGTAGAAATCTATAGATGCTGCTCAGCGGCACTCTATCAAAGATCACCCGCGGGTTTAAAGGATTTTCTGTATGTAAAGTCATTATATCAAATATGCCATGCAAATATTAACAAAGAACGTGAATATGCAGCAGAGGTCACATGCGTAGAAGTTCAAATAACACAACCCAGAGAGAGAGGGGGAGAGAGAGAGAGAGAGAGAGAGAGAGAGAGAGAGAGAGAGAGAGAGAGAGGTAAGGCTAGTTGCGTTTCCTTTTACAGGACGTTGCAGAACCAACCCCAACAGCCCCTGGCTGGCTGTTGTGTGGTTTTTCTAGAAGAATTTACGTCCAGTAGTTTGCCATTGCTTTCTGGGCGGTCGGCTTTCTTGATACTACTGTCGAAACCAACGCAAGGCGCATGGCCCGCAGCTGGGATCGAACCCGGCATTACAAAGCGCATCGACTTAGCCACAGAGCCGACTGAGAGAGAGAGAGAGAGAGAGAGAGAGAGAGAGAGAGAGAGAGAGAGAGAGAGAGAGAGTAGCAGTAAAAGCCCCCTGCGAGGCCAGAGAGAGCTTGAGAGAGTAGCAGTAAAAATAAATGCTTGCCAGTAAAACTGGAACGAAACAACAGGCCAGTCAGAAATCGACGCTTCAACAACCTTACAAATCGGTGATCAGGTACGCCTTTTTAAATCTTAAATAATAAAATGCTTGCGAAAGAATACACAAAAACTTTGAAAGAATACTTATTACACGATGGGTGGTGGGTGTTGTCTTAGCACTGTTTGGGGAACTCGAATTTAAATGATTAGGCTCAGTGAACGCCAGTATAAAGAAATGGAAGGTGGGTGGAAGGGGAGCTTCAACCAAACAAAATGTCACCAGCTGGGGATCGGCTGGAAAATTTCAACGAACTCTTTATTCACTGAGGACCAATGCCATTTCCACAGTCAAGTTAATCAGTTACAGGACCACATAACCAGGTACACAATAACTGCCTCAAACATATGAGACTCACTTTCAAATCCAGCTGCAGCCTAAGGCCAGTGTTCGAAACCGGGCAGTTCCCGGGGTTCACCCAGTCTCTAGGTAATAGGTACCAGAGTTAACACTGGGGTAAATGGAGGAACATCGCTGTAGCTACAGATTTGCGTGTGGACAGCGACAGTTTTTTATCAGCTGTCCGTACTGGTGGCATAGCATTTATGGTTTATAAATGTGTGCAATGACGCTGATTCACATCTCCCGACTTTATCCTTTTTTTTTACAGTAACCCTTGAGCTGTTTGATCCTGATCTCTCCCCTGCCTATATGCCAGAACAGGGAGGGGGAAGAGAAAGGTAAATTTGTCACTCAATCTTTATGCCTAATTACATAAGCTATATTTTAAAGAAAGGATCAGGCTTGAAAATGAGTTACAAGAGCAAATCTGATTAAAAAGGGATAGGGGAGAGACAAACGTATGTACAGTGATGTGGTTAGCATCATGCCGGCCACCTTTACTTCCCTGGATATTTGTGTGTATTAAAGTCAAAAGGATTCAACATGCACCTGATGAGGTAAGCAAAATAGGTCACGTCAGGCAATAAATTGTGCCTCAAATATTTAAAATTAACATGCCGCTTTTAAAATACAATTTTTACAACACAATTTTGGAGTGAATAAAAACACATTTATTCAATATATTTAATAAGTTATTAAAGCAAAAGAAATCTCAAGCTATGCGAATGCTCAAACTAATACATCTAGTGAACACTTGTAGCAAATAGCCCTTAAATTAAATATTAAAACTGTTTTTTTAAAGATGTAAATTTATTTGTTATCAAGGTAAACAAATAATTAATGTTTATACAGTACCAAAACAAAACAAAGATGAGAGGAATAGACAATACAACCTGAAAGTTACTTCATAATCGGCCTGCACTCTCAAATTTCAGATCTAGGGGGCATATTTTAACCCAAAAAAACACTGAGCCTACAACATGAAAATGGAAACACCAAGAGGCAGAGGAAGGCCTAGAAGAAGATGAACTGGAGTCACTGACAGTCTACAAGGAATTCCAGAGAAATTTAACTAAAAAGCTCGACAAAATGGGGAAGCAGAAAAACGGGCACGAAACAACACAACGTAACGTTTCGACCGGGCGGCCTTTTTCAAACATAAGTCAAGGCCGCCTGGTCGACGTTTCGTTGTGTTGTTTCGTGCCCATTTTTCTGCTTCCCCATTTTGTTGAGCTTTCTAGTTAAATTTCTCTTAAATTCCTTGTATTGGCTTGACTGCAGTCACCCCCATTTTTCACCATTGACAGTCTACAAACAACTAAGCTCTGCTACTTGTGACATCTAGTGGTACAAAACAGAAAGTGACAAAATAAGAAAGATAAAGATGGAAATTATCATTATGGTATACTGTACCATCACTGGTGACTGCCAGGAAAAAATTTTCTGGGCGCAGGAATAAAGACCACATGCCCAGGATTACGCCATGCAGTGCAAAGGCTATGATTATTACTTAATCTTTGGTAGATAAAATCTGTACTTCCCCTGGGATGAGAACTTATATCCCACAACACATACAATTTTGATCTGAAAAATCTATCCCCCCCCCCCCCAAAAAAAATGACACCATGAAGCAGTAAGAGTGTAGCGACTAGATACTCATCTGCCAGCCCTAAGCTCTTTGGTCTGAAACTGCATCAAGACAGTGTTAAAAAAAAAAATAACCCTGTCTGTCAGGTGGAGCCACCATAAAATGGATAGCAGGTAAAGTCTGCTAGTATAATGACATCACATATCGAATGTCTATTGATCTATAAAAATCTGTGAGCCTAGAATTACATGCCTGATATGCTGCAAGCGTGAAAAGGGCTCTCTACCCTTCCTAAATTCATCAGACTAGACTAGATATCTAATCCATCCACTATAAACTCTGGTGTGGTAAACATCACTACGTAACCTTAACACACACACATACACACAAAACAGCACTGTGAAAAACACTATCAAAACCAGCATTTACTATTTACACATGTGAAAGTACACATAGAGCATAACTGATTCAAGATACCATCTAAAAATTATTTAATTGGCTTGTATACTGTCATGGATGATCCTGCCTCTCAACAACACATGCACATTAGTTATCAACCAATGAACTAACTTCCCATTCCAAGACACTGTATGTTAATTATTCTTTCTTTTTGCCAAACTTCTTTGTATTTCCATGAATTTCCCTGGTCACTGCAAGGTACAGGAAGATCAGGATGATGAGACGACTGCAGTGTATGACCATATATTCCCTTGAAAAACACCACTTCAGACAAGACATTTCCATGCATATCCCCCACTGCTGAAGAACATATATGAGCACAGCTGGCATTCTACTTGTAATGGCCTTGGCGATATGTTTTTTTCCCCTATGTATGAAAACTTATGGGACACTAGTTATTTTCTTATTATCATGTTACAGTTCACTGCCCAACTGCCATGGGTGTTCATGCTTCTCCATGTTTTGCAATCTTCAAAAAGCATGTGTCTATGTGTGTGCTGATTCCCATAATGCTTCTTGAGATATTGGATCTCCTTCCATGGCAAGGTCTAAAATAATAGAAGATAGCACAGAAATCCAAATCCAATTAAAGCAGGTTTGACAAAGAATTTGAGAAAACACTAATAACTAACAAGACAACACTGTAATACTTTTAAAACTGCATTTCCACTGAACACCTGGATCATTATGTTTGATATACAAATAAAAGAAGAAACGTAACAATGACAAACTCAGTAGTTATGTATCTGCCACATAAACAACAATGGATTTTTCTTTCAGTAAACAGATGTGGTGAATTTTTTGTGTGTGTGCATGGGTCCAGCTTGCTGTAAATTAAGCAGCATTTGTAAGTAAACAAATTAATTTCATGAGGTTACTGTATACCTTACAAACTTTGCTTAAAACAAAATATGACAAACACTTAAGTTTAAGTAGCTTTATGATCTATGTCTGTGCCCGTGGCTTAGGGGTTGTGAATGCAGTTTCATAATCTTGCATCCAGGGTCTGAAGTCAGCTGCAGACAATTGGCTCCATACCACTTATTTATTTCATTTTTTGCAATGGTATGAACGTTGTACAGGTCAGAAAGAAATGGCAAACAGCTGAACGTAAAACACCTTAGTAAAACCAACAGCAGACAATAAACGCTCGAGTCGGTTTTGATGCTTTGGAGTTGAAAACTAAGTTTTCTTTATAACCTATTAATTTTTTTTAACCTTTTCCTGTACTCAGATATGTCTGCTCTCTAGAAGCAACCCAAATTAAATAAACTAAGCTGAACATACACACATGAATTACATTTCATCATCATCAATACCAAGATCTTCTTCAGGAAAATCTCCTACTTCCACGTGAGAGGGACGAACAAAACTGCCATATTTTGCAGGACATTCAAAATACCTTTTCCCACTAACACTACCATCATTTTTGCCAAAAGGCTCATCGTACTGAATGCCCACCCAAACTCCAGGTTTGAAATCAGTCTTGCCAACATATTTGACAGTACCCCGCCTCGCTGGTTGACCTGGCAGTCTCACTTCACACCTAGCATCAACAGTAATACTCTTAGCCTTTTCTTCCTCAGCTTCCTCTTTAGCTTTAAGCTCTGCTTCTTTACGTTTAACTTCTTCTTCATTAAATCGCCCAATCCGATTCTTTTCTTTGAAAGCTCTCACTGTATCTTGTCGTTTCTTATACTCCTCATCGGAAATTTCAAACTTCTCTACTTTTGATGTGTCGGAATATTCATCAGGCTTGAGGTTTGAGTCTTCAGCATGGATGATCATGCCATCATCCACAGGGTATGATCCTAGAAGAGCTTCATCGTTATCAATAGCACAAACTAATTTGTTCTCTGCAGTGTACAAGAACAATTTCATGGAATGAGCAAAAGCACCAGTGATGAGTTCCAGTTTCGACTTCAAGGCTGCCACAGTCATCCCTCGCTCAAAGCGGCGTTCAACTCCAAATTTATTTACTGTGCTGGTAACAAGTACAGAAACAAGCGGACTTGATGAAACAGTTATTCCTGCCATTCTGCCCAGTATTAGAGCAGGTCAGATTCAAAACTCAGGGTTTTCTTTAGAAACCACTGCTGAAGAAACGAAAAAATAATTGTTAGATGCAATGGCCTCATAATAATATATTATCAGTTATTTTTAAAATGCATTCCGTAGATTATTTAATAACCATTACATTTTAATTTTTAAACTAGTAAAATTTGAATAATGAGACATGATGCAATGGTAGTGTAGTATCTAAACACTCCAATGCCAACCTGAAAGTCTTGGGTTCACATCTGCAACTGGTAGCTTTGGAAAAATTATGGCCGTGGGTCCCAAGTCAACAAAGCATAAAAGGGGCACAAGGAAATGTCCAGGAAAGCAAAGGAAGCTGATCATATCACCCATTAACTGGTCTTTAAAATACCTGACTCTAGCATTATATGTCTGGTGTGAAACAGGCCTTTTATTTTTTTCAAATGAGATCAGATATCTATCTTTCTCAAAAAAGGGTGAGTTGCAAACAGCCAAAACGTAAGACTGAATATGACTAGAGGAAGATAACATTCAAGCAAGAACAAGAGGATTTACCAAATCGCAGTTTATCCCATTAAGCTGCGTCTCCTTGTTCTGCCAGACCTCCCCGTCTCTGTTTGAGAATTCTAGAGTAACTTTTACCAGGAAAGCTGAGGTGAGATTTGCCTCTGTTTTTTGCATTGTCTGTTATCACTTTTTTTTAATATAGGTATTACGATGGTAATCTCCCAATCTTTTGGTACAGTTTTACTACACCAGGCTGCCTGGAGAACGTTCAGGAGAAGTTGCTTCCATGTGAATCCAATGAATATGACCATCTCTGGCCAACATGTCTTGCTGCTTTTCCCAGCTCCATCTTCTCAAAAGCTGCCTTCAATTCTTCTAATGTTATCATCCCCGTGGATAATTTCTTTCTCTGTAGCAAGGTCCGTTATTTCTGGGACATGACTTTCTTCAACATCGAGGAGCTCTGAGAAGTATTTTTTCCACCTGTCCATATCATCTGTGGTAGCAGGCAGAGCTCCTTCCTTGTCTTTTATTAATTTCAGGGGGCAATCTTTTTCGTTCCTCATGTTCTTGAACAGTTTTTGATATTCTCTTGCACTCTTTTCCAATGTTTCTCCAGATTCATCCCATGTTTTTTGTTTTGCATTACGCACTATATTTCTGGCCTCTGTTCTGAGTGTCACATATTCTTCTTCGTGTTCACCAGCTGTAAATTTGTGTAGAAAATAAGCTATTTGTCCACTTTTGGAACGTGGTCCTGTTCCAAAATCTGAGTTGTGTGTGCATCCGTTTTATAAGATTTGACTCATTTGTATGCAGACTATTCTTTGCCTCTCAGACAGACGTATTCCGACTTTGAAGGAAGCTCCAAATAAGTTGACTCTAACAAAATGCTGTTGAGTGGGCATAGTGGGTCTATTCTTGTTTCCCCACAACAGGGCCCCAGAACCTGCATGAGTGAGAGGCATATAAATCAAAGCACTGGATTCACTCAAAACAAAAACAAGGAAGGTCTGCTTGCATGACCAACTCTTAACTCTCTGAAAAAAAATTTGTTCGTTTATTTAATCTGCTGAAAATTGTATGCAACAATCAAGAGGTCTAAAGGAAGTAGTCATCTTCATATGTAAGGACACAAGATGTAAAGCTACATTCCAGACAGTTTTGTTTCCTAGAAAAAAAAAGATGTCAGTACCAGGTGACTATAAAAAGTGCTGGCACTCGCTACAAAGTGTCCATTACAGTTGCACTGGGAAAACAAAATGCCTATAAAAAGGTGCCAGCAGTGCGTACTACTGCGCATTCTAGATATATAGCCTTGTTCACCGAGAGGTCATTTCCTCATTATTGTAGAGATTTGTTGTCACCGCAGCCAGGACAATACCTCCGTCTCACACAAAAACAGTCAATGCAGTCTTCATACTGTTGGTAATCATTGTCTGTTTAAATGCTCGTTGTACCCCCCCCCCCCCCCCCCTTTCCCGACCAACTCCCCCAGCAAGACATGCGGTTTATAACTGATAGGAGCAGTGGTTACAAACAGATCAGCAGTTGCACATGCAAGCAAACTTAATCATACAAGACACCACCAATACTGTGGTAATACACCAAGCGTTATTTTCTGAATCTACAGTCCACAACACCACATTTGGTCAGTGGAAAACCCTTCCAAATGAAATCTGCAGCTCACAATATTGCGCCATGCACTCATCGCACTAGCTAGGCGATGACACTTTATCCTTTCAGTTTACAAATGGAAAAATATACATTGGCCACTGTCTGTCAGAGGCAAAAAATTTGCCACGACTAAAAACAGTGACCGTGCCTATCATCCATTTTGACATTACAGAGTACAGGTGACATGGCTGAACCGTGGGGTAAATCAGGTGTGACAGTACATTAGTCTCAGGTCTAGGATCCAAGGTCACTGCTATTGCGTATTCATACAGAACAACTGCCATCCCTCATAAGGCCAAGAAAGGTCTATCAGCAATAAAAGTTATTGCTGCTACGAACTTTAGACAATAGCTACTTGTGATGGTATACCAGGGATTACTGTTAGACTTTTCAACAAAAAACAACAGAATCAAAATTTTTCAGGGCTACTGCACTCTTCAAGTCGAAATCATACTTCTACTCCTGGCAAAAAGAAGCTGTTGCGGACCGGTGGAGACCTTAAACATTTCACCAATGTTAACCAAAACAGAATTGGCATGATCAGTCCTTTTACTCTTGTGGATCTATTGAGAAGGAGACCAGAGCATCTCTCTGTGATGACAGTCCTCGCTAATCACTGCCATAAAGTTAACAATTTTGGGTTCAACTGCCGCTGCAACTGCGTCTATTATATGCTTGTGTGATGCTGACCACATCACCCACTAAGTGCCGACTGGTCTATAAAAACACACGTGCATTTTTTCTTCATTTGTAGACTGAAATGATAGTTTCATCACCCAGCTTCTGAGCTGAGTGCATGGCATGACACTGTGAGCTGCTGATTTCATTTGGAATGTTTTTCTACTATGACCAACGTGGTAGTATGAATTATTGATTCAGAAAATGGCACGATGCCTGTTGTCGCAATAATGGTGGTGCCATTATGTAATTAAAATTTATCGTGTGTGCAACTGCTGATCTGTTGGTGACTTCTGCTACCATCCATGATGAACTGCATTTCTAATGTCGGACTGTCTGTGTTATCACTTTGGATGGCTACTGTGTATGCTTTTAATGTGTGCTAGTGCATAAGCTGAGACAGCAGTCTGTCAATCTTTGCACAAAGGACTGTGATAAACATTGTATATGTTTTTTGCTGGCACAGGAGCGGAGCAACTATGGGGTTACCCATTTGCTATGAAGCTGAAACTAAGATTACCAGATTACGTCTAAAGGCGTGGAAAAGGCACCTTTACTTTATGTCTGCAAGTATATAATAATATTAATAATATATGGATTAAATACAAACACTGACTTCTGGTCTAATATAATGTAAGGTCCATTCACTAGTTTTTAAAAGCCTATGGGCAAGCAATGTCAAAGACTTTTGACTTTTTTAACGTGTGTGGTGTGAATTCACAACTCAAAGCGAAATGACAAAATAAATCTGAAAAACGGGCACAAACTACTTATCGTCATAAATAATAAACCAGTTTAGGCCTGCCAAATGACAGGACACGGGTTGATGAACAGTACTAAGTATGACATTTTCTTCTGACTCATTCATGCCTACACACATTACACGCCTTACTAGTGTTATTTAATCATAATAATTAATTAATACTTCTAAATTTTTAAATTGTTATTTTAATAATGTAATCATTTGTAATTTTATTTTATTTATTTTTTACCTGCACATAAACATAAAATAAACGAATCCCTTATCTTAAATAAAGTTCTCAGTGACGAACCGCAGTTACAAAATATATACTATAGTATATGACAGTGTCTTCTGTAATGAAGTTCCTCTTGGCTTGTGTTCTCTCTAATTATGAACATAGAATAAATCATCGCAGCTCATGAATACCTTCTCCGTTGAGTCTACTTGTGACTTGTGCGCGTCCATGAGTAAGCACCGTCTCATGGGAATTTATGCTAGCTTCGTTGTATAGTTTGGAACTATTAATCTTTACTTTTAGTTACGCAGTAATGCCTTGGTTATTCACGTCGTACCGAAATAAACATTAAAATGGCTGATTTATTTATATGTATAAGGTACGTTCTGGAGTTATTCGAAAATCAATATCTACTGACTTTGTACTATTCTCTTCAAATTCTCTTGTCCAAAAGTAAAATAATGGTATCAGTGGTATCGATAGATAAATTAGATCTTATGATTCGATTTACAGAATATGGAAGTAATAAAGTGTAAAAGTTACAAATTATAGATAATAAACACACTTTTAAGCAATGAAGATGCACAATTAATAATAAAAGAAAAACTAACTGAATATTTTTAGATTTCTTTTATATAAGGAAAAGACCATAAATTAAATAACTGCATACGACTACTAGAACAGACTGAGACACAAGTATCGAGTGTGACTCCGGGTTTTTTGTGTCCAGTTCTTGTCCTTATGATATATAATTCTTTCATTTAGGCTGCTTCTATAAATACTATTTACTTCTACTGAAATTATTTCTCATGGTTGATTTTTCCCCTTAAACTGATGTCGCGTTTCCAGAAAACATATTGCTGGGGACGGTGATAGCTAGAAGAACGAACATGGAATAATGTGACAGCGAGTGTTGAAAACCATGACTTCACTGTTGATGTTGTTTTGTGTAATTTTTGCCGTTTGTTGTTGCGATGAGACGACTGACTATTTGATGGACGAATCTACGGGATACTCGTATGATCCCAAAAAGGCACTTGTTTCTTGCTCATTTTTGTAAGTGAGAGAAAAACATAACACTTATTACAGATTTGTTAATTTTTAGTACATACAATTATTAATAGTAAAATAGTATTATTATAATTTAGTCGGCCCGGAAAAGGGGGGGGGGGGGGGGGGGGGAGGGGTTAAATGTGGATAAATGTTTGTGTCCGATTACCCGAAGCTTTTAGGCTCGATTCCGCAGCAACAAATGGTAATGTCTTAGGACTCCCAGCCAGAAATATCAGGAAATTACCTAGAAAATAAAGGCAACCGGAATTATGATCACTATACTATCATCCATTGAGTGAGTTTAAAATTAACTTCGGCTATCCTCCGAATAACAGCCACATAATGGAGACCAAAAACACACCCTGACAGGGCTACATTAGGTCGTGTGTTGTAAACATTCAAAAACTTGAACTCAAAAATAATTAAGAACGAAAAAAGGGAAAATGACGAAATCGACTACTTAGCGATAATTGAGGCCTTTATATCTGAAAATTGTGGCATAGAGGTCGTAAATAGTGCCCCAAAATCTGCTCTTTGATGCTGTGGCACCATTGAAACTCAGCTAAATATGATCGGAACAAGGCGCGGCTAGTGCCGCTTGGAAATGCAGTTTTCATTACCGACAGTGTCCCCCACGCCGTTACGCGCGGCACAGATGGGAGGCTAAACTAGATGGCTGGGACTGACGAGCAAATAAATTGGATGAAGTTGCAGGAGATGCGGTAGCTGCTGCTCGTGAGTCCCAGCCATCTAGTTTAGCCCCCCCCATCCGCGCCGCACATAGCGGCTCGGGGGATACGCACGGCGGTGAGTTTAATCAGAACACTATCGCTTACCTGCGTCGAAGCACATGGTCTCCCCGTCATGTCGCTATTATTGTGTGTATTGTTCAGTTTCTCAAAATTGTCAACGGACAGTAATCCTAGTTTTGCCGCTATGTGTTTGTCAGAGGAATTCCGCAATTTACATGTAATTGAGGCCCTGTCAGGGTGTGTTTTTGGCCACCATAATATGTGGGCGTTATTCGGAGGATAGCCTGAACTTCTTTTCTCTACTCCTGGAATGCCTCACGAGGTCAGGGCAGGAAGAGATCCCTGGAACCGGCTATTCTGTTCGCTTCATATAACGTTATAAAGTAGAAAGTACTTTTCAGTGTCTCTGATATACTGTGGTCCATCTTCTTTGTGGTCGAATCTTCTGCATGTTCGATCTCTAGTTCTCATCTGTTACCACTGTATCTTTATAGCATTACTCTCTGTGGTGCTCTGTCTGATGCCAGTCTTGTTACATGGTCTTAGCATTTGATTTGTTGTCAACCTGTAAAGTTCAGTGTTGGTTCTGTGCTGACTCTCCTCCTGATATCATTATTCCTAAGTCAATATTTTCTCGTTACACCTAGCATAGTATTTAAACATTGCATTTCTGTCCTGACTTTTTTTCTTCTGAAGACAATGTCCATGTCTGACATTGATAGCATAGCTTTGGTAAGAATATTGTGTTGAACAGTATTCTTTTAGTGTTCATATTAACATGCTTGCATTTCAAACTTGGTGCCATTTGGCCTAAAACTTGATTGGCTTTATTGGATCTTTGCTGGATTTCTTTATTAATTCTTCCGTCTTCTGAAAAAAAATGCTCCCAAGATATGTTTTGATATTGGTGGTTCTTCCTTTTCTGGAGAATGTCATCACTTTTGTTTTGTCTATTTTGATCTTCAAATCATAGTTTTCGCATTCTGAATGGATTCTACTATGCTCTTGTTGTTGTTCTAGCTAAATTTTTTGGTTATGTGATGAGAAGAAGAAAACTTGAGTACATCATCGCAGTAGGAAAGTTGGAGGGGAAGAGAGGCAGAAGGAGACTGAGAGAAAAGATGCTGGACAGTTTGACATCATGGCATGAGGATCATCTGTGTCAGAGTTGATTAAAAGTACAGGAGACAGAAGGTTGTGGATAGACATGACTACCAACGTCATACGTCATGAACAAGAAGTTATTGTACTGATGTTGGTGCTGTGATTGCCTGGTCATCAGTGAAAAACATTTCATTTAGTAATTCTCTGATGTTATACCATTCACTGGTATTAGCTGATTTGCAAATTTGGTCGACGTATGTGATGAACAGTAGTAGTGATAGAATGCACTCTTGTCCCCAGATCTAATGTAGAACTTTTTTGACATTCCTCTATTTGTTCTAACTGTGTATTGACTGTTAACATATAAACTCTTGCTCAATTTAATAAGGTGCTCGTTTTCCATAATCCTGTAGTACCTTCCATAATTTGTTCCTATTAACTCAATCAAAAGCTTTCTCTTGGTCTACGAATGTGACGTTTCATTATTTATCAAAATCTACCATAATTTCTACTAATTGTCTAAGTGTGAGTATTGTTGTATCAGTACAATTTCTGTTATTTTGAAATTAAATTTGCCCTTCACTAAGTTGTTTGATTATAGGGGTTAGCATTTTTTCAATGATCTCACCAAATATTTTCTTTGTGTGGCTCGATAACAAAACTTCTGTATACTTCTTTATAATAAAATGAAAACCATGGCTGGCAGACTACATTGTACCTGTTCATATTACAAATAATATTCTGCCATGAAGTGTGCAATGTCTTTAGTCCGGCAAGCTCGGTCACCTAAGGGTTAGGATTAGGCACCTGATGGTTATTCGCCTAATCCTAACCCTAGCATTAAATGACACTTCTGGAACATCATTCTCTGTCTTTATGTTAAGAGTTTTAAACCACTGTTCAGAGGATTGCCAAGATAAATGTCTGTCAGTTATAGTTAAAACTAGACTTCATTAAATTTAAATGTAAACAGTTAGCAATTAAATATGATTTGGTTATAACATTTAACAGTTGCCTCCAGGCACTGCTCCATATGAAGCATTTTTACATGGATATAGTAGAAACAAGTGAAACTCTGAAACTACTCACATACAAGATGCATAAACCACGTATTGTAGAAGTGTGAGTATGCAAATACAGATTATGATACACACCACATAGCTCTTAACCCTCTGAAGACGAATACTTTTTGGAGTTTCGGTGCCAAGAAATGAAGCCTTCAGAAGAGGATTCTCATAGTTCATACACAAAATATTATTAAAAAATAAAGCGTTTAATCAACATATATAAAATTATATATATTCGTTTAAGAAATTGAATGAACTAACAGAATATTTATGAATCAAACTGAAATCTCATCATTTATTCAAATTAACTATTCTGATTTGCATAAATTATTCAAGCAATTTTTATAAAACTTGAAAACAAACATAACTAGCCTGAAAAATTTAGGTTTATTTTTTATAGATAAAGTTTGAATAATTCCTAACTGTATTTTGGGAAGTAAGGCCCTTAGATGCTCTTCAGACACGTCTGGCACATGGTTCTACTTATTTTCCTGCCTCCAGCTATGTTTCAGTTGCTATGATGCAATAGTTCTTTTCACCATTATTTGGTCACAGGTAACCCCAGAGAAAAAAACATATGTAAAATGGCGGAACACATAAAACTGTCTCGAAAGCCATCAATTAACAGCCCACATGTGCAAGAAATGCGAGTAGTCTGATTGGCTGGTGTGAAAACCTGCCAGCCAATATCAAGGCTTCTATTATATAGGGTTGACCAATCGGCCCCAGTTGTCCTTTTGGCTACTTTGTGTTGGTCCGATATTTCAGCCGCATCGTCTCCAATGGGTTAATATCTTCATGTCTAGAGATAAAAATGTAAAGTAAAGCACAGTAGGAACAAAACCAGTGTTAATTGGGAAAGTTGATAATTACTAGTAATACTGACATTAGTGGACAGTGCTAACATTAACACAAGGAGCAGTGGCCAGGTGGTTAGAATACAGAATTCTCATGCAGGAGATCCGGGTTTGAATCCTCAGTAGGGTGATGGGTGTTGTTTATCAGTTTGGGGGAAAAAAATAACAATCCTAATCTGCACAGTTTGTGATGACCGCACTGTTGATCAGTATTTAACAAAACAAAACAAGAAAAGCAAAAAAGTTCTGGTTCATATTTATATGATAATGGGGGATACCTCAATGGAATTAGTCGAGCTAAGAATACATTATTTGAATAAGAACGACTCAGTAAATATCCAGCCCATAAACATGAACAGCTTACTTCACTTTAAGCAACATATTGCTTATTTCATTTTTCACAGGCCATTAGAATTTTTGAACTGCAGTGACCCTGAAGATCTGAAGGGCAATGTCACTAAAAGAAATGAACAGGGCTTTGGGTGCACAAAGGTAGTTTGTATTTCTTTCTTTCATTCATTTTTATTATTTATGTAGTTTAGTCAAGAGATCAAAATGGGACTTGAGAAGGCCTTATCTGCTATGACAAGACTGAATCCTCCTATGTGAAAAAAACAAAATAACTTTCCTAAAAATTCAGAAAAATGCTGCAAATTCTGAGGCCTTCTTGTGGAGAGAATAAGAATAGACCCACTGCCTTCCCAACAAGCATGTCATAAGAGTAGACTAACTGAGGTCTTCCTTATAAGTCACAGTATATCTGCATGAGAGGCAAGGAGCCAAGAGTCTGCGTACCGATAAGCCGGCTCTGAAAAACAAATTTGCACCCAACACTCAGGTTCTGGAACTAAAGTGCAGATGTGGACAAACAACCAGAATATTCAACCATAGTTTAAAGTGGGTTAACATGGAGAATAAAAAAAATGGTTTCCCATTAGGAATTTAAATAGTGCAAACACAAACAATACCTTGTACCTGGGAAAATAGTTCACTGTATCTCATTAGGTGCATTACTGCAGTGTTTATCTTACACTTCCATAATGATCCTGTGGTTAATCTTAAACTTCTGTAAGTAAGATGTGCATTATTGCATGAGACAGTATGATTTGTGTATTTAAATGGAAAAGACTCATCTTTTGTTTCCAGTTTTGTGTTGATGTAAACTCTTTGGTAATGCACCCATCAAGATATAGCAAAATATGGTGGTAAAAAAAAAAGGTAATGTATTAGATAAGACAGGTAGGTAGGTGCATCCCTAAGAAAAAAAATTGTCATGTTTAACTAACCAGCATCCCCAAACTGACCTGTTGATGACCTATATTGGATGAGATGCACAGCAGACATTGATCGCTTCTGTAGAAGTTAGTTGTTACTGCATGTTTGTGTTTCAGTGGGGTGGTCTCTATGTTGTCAAGCTATTTGCCCTGCACTCTGAAGGTCATGGGTTCGTTTCACGGATGCCTTTTGAGTTTATGGGTGCTATTTTAGAGATCCCTGAGGGTCATCACTGGAGCTAGGGAGTTTGTGCTCTGTGAGACACTCTGGGTAGTTAACTGTTCTTCAAAGAGACTGAACCATATGAGATTAAAACCCGGTGCAGTGAAGACGATCGTCTCGACTAACTTTAGTTTGTGTTTCAGTGGGGTGGTGAAAAATATGAAGATGTACAGAAAACGAGTGTGTGGTGCACTGCTTTACCTGGCATTGAATGCTACGGCAACAGGACTTTTCTCAGAGATGGATTCCCTTGTATAATGTAGGTGTACTATTATTTTGTTGTGTTATTGCTGTATGTACAGTTTAGTTGGTTATGTTTGTCTGTTTTCTCATGCCGTGTGATTATGTACACTGATGGGTCTGTGGTGAAGAGAAAAGTGGGTGGGAGTTCTGTTGCAAAGGTGAAGGGACATTGCTTTAAAAGAAAAAAGGAAGAGAGAGAGAGAACATTGTGCATAAAGTCGGAACATCCAGAATGAGAATAGAAGTGTGGGCAATAGCATCAGCTTTCTAATGGCTGAAGGGTAATGGAGCAGGACAGGCTATATTTGTAACTGACCTTGTCCGCAGAACAGGCTTCAGAAAATATAAAAAGTTATATCTACACTAGGGCTTACAGTACCTGATATCACTTCCACATGATGATAAGTTGGCTGCTGCCACGCTTCTTAGTGGTGATCTACTTTATGATAAGACAGATGTGATAAAAGATCTATGGAATGGTTTGCATACAACAGTGGAATAGATACGGCATCCACACCTGGCAAGGCTGATTCATTTGTGAGTGAGCAAAGGATTTGGTTGCTTCTCATAAAGGAAAAGATAGGTGGCTTTAAATCAGGTTGCCACTGACCTGACACCATTGGCTGCTGGAGAAAGGAATGAAACATGTATAGAAATATCCTGAATGCAGAGTTGTGAACTCTGCATTTATTCATTATTTTTTCTCATGTAAGTTTGTGGTTTTTGTTGATGTTGTTGTTAATTTTGAATGCTGTGTCAACGGTAAATTTCTTAGGGACAGTTCTTGTTTATAAGTTTATTCACTGCATTATATTTTTATGACTGTGCAGTAATTTAAGTCATTTATTTTCCTATTAATTTAAACTGTTGACAAGGATAAGTATTTTCATGAAGTGTTGCTACAACAACAGCACTTCTTAGGAGACAGAGTCCTGTACATTATAGTTAGTAATCAGTTGGTGAAGTATATTATAATCATTTCTCCCTTCCATTAATTTGTGCAGCAGCTTAGAAACAAAATGAAACTGTCCTAAAATGCACATTGGCTTGAAAGAACTATGGCAGCATCATTTCCATGAATGAAGAATTCATATTTTAAGAAATATCTCAACTCCAGCAGGATATGACAGTTTAAAATGAAATAAAGTGGTATGTTCAAATTTTGTAGAGAAACAACAACCAGTACATACCTTGCAATAATAACAGAAAGTAATTTCTGTATGCCTTGCCTGGAGTCCCTGTAAAGATTGTACATGATTGCACGTTTTCTATTTTATTAGGTTGTTAATATACTTTGTTATTTCACAAATATGGATTATTCTTCCCCATGTAGGTTCTGGGGTCCCATTGTGGGGAAAACAAGAATAAACACACTGCCTCAACAAAGAGCATGTCATATGAGTCAAATAATTGGGGGCTTCCTTCGAAGTTGGTGCATCTGCCAAAGCGGCAAGGAACAACCAACTGCACACAAATAAGCCAGTAAAACGGATTTACGCGCAAAACTCAGGCCCTGGCACAAATCCAGAGTCCAGATGGACTAACATCCAAGACTTTCCACTGGAGCTGACAGCTGGTGAACAAAGAAGAAATGATTATTCTGATGTTTCAAAACATTGCTATTATTGCAGTTTCAATATACTGTTTTTTTGTTTTTTTTTTAAATTCAAGGTACAATGGCCATTACTTTGTGACAACTTTAATTTATTCAGTGTTACTGGGGTTTCTGGGAATGGATAGATTCTGCCTGGGTCATACAGGTAACCTCATAAACTCACATATGTTGTCAGTGTTATCATTTAATTTAGAAGGCTGAAAAGTTATTAAATTGAAACTTTTTTAGGCTATCCTCCAACTAACGGTCGGTAAAGATGGCGGCCGCAAAATATCCTTTCGTCTCACGATAGATGGTAGAGACGTCAACAGAGAGAGCAAACTGAAGTATCTGGAAATTGCATTTGACAGGAGCCTGTCATTTAAGGACCATGTGGAGAGGGTTGTGACGAGATGCCAAAAAGGACTTAGTGCACTTAAGACTATGGCTGCAATTGACATAGAGCAGAGAATGCTTTTCAAACTATATCAGCACCTGATCCTGTCAGTGGTGGATTATGGCCTGGGACATTAGGCGAGGAGAGGAGTGTCACCTGAGCAGTCAGACTTGTGTAGAGTCATAATCACGCTGAGCCGGGAATGCAGAGACTGGCCAGCAGGTGCCACAGAAGTGGAAATTCAGCAATTAATTCAAGATAATGCTCGTTCAGAGGATTTGATCATTTACACAGACGGTTCAGTGTCAAGAGGCAAAAGAAGTGCTTGGGGCTTTTTAGCAAAAGTTAATGTTTGACGCTTGGTGCAGGAGAGCCTAGCATATGATACCACAACATCCAGCTTAAGAATGGAGGTGGAGGCGGTCATTGCAGCTTTCCGCTGGCTAGAGAACACGACATACTCACACAATGTAATTGTAACTGATTCAGAAAGCATGCTGAGGAAGATCAGAACACGTATGCTTCGTGCAGAGTGGCATGCTTCGCTGCGGAGGACACGAGTGAGGAGTATTGTCTGGATTTTTTCACCGGGTGACGCCGGTGTGTTGGGAAATGAACAAGCGGACAGACTGGCTGGCTCTGCACAACTTGGTGGAATACTGCTACATGATAGAGCAGACGTGGTTAGTGCCTTGTGGGAGAGCGTGTACAGTGCGGAGGAGCAGATGGATCACCACAGTCTGGTGAGATTGATGCAGTTGGGGGTGACGAGAGGTTCTGGCAGAAGCTCAAGGCTCAGAGGAAAGGCAAGACGGACGTTTAATCAGAAAGCTACTGGCACCATTAGTATCGGAACTCTTCGCTGGCTGCTGAAGATGAGGACAGGGCGCTTATGGGAATGCCCCGAGTGCTGTGATGTCGATTCTTGAATCAAATCAAATCATTGAGAAAAGTAAAATATTAACATTTTCACATGTTCTAGATCAGGAGTCGCCGTAGCGTAGAAGCTAGACACTTGTGTGCGGATCGGTAGGTCGTGGGTTTGCTCCCTGGCGGAGCCGGACTTTAAAAAAAATGACCTTGACTCCCAGGTGGACCCAGCCTATGAGTGGGTAACGGGTGTAGTCCCGGGAAGTAAAGGTGGCCAGCGTGATGCTGACCACATCACCCATCTTGTTCTGATTGGTCTATAAAAATATAGGTCTAGCCCTATATGCCCTAAGGCTTGAAAAAGGGACCTTTACTTTACTTCTACATGTTCTAGATCACAACTTTAGTAAATGTCTTTTCCTAGCACAATTTTACTTAACTTTTTTCTGTACTTTAGTTTGAAATGGAATACAATAGCCAGGGAAGATAGCCTTTCTAATTGCTGAATTGTTCAGAAATGTTATAGATGTATGAAGTGCAGTTGTTCTCGAGGGAGAACTAATATGTCTTCCTTTTTTAACCTTTAACCTCAGCTGAAGCATAGACTGCCAGCCAGCATAAATATTCAAGCTGGCCTACCCTGTGCCACCTCAGTGCATCCCCTGTGCCACCTCAGTGCATCTCCTGTGCCACCTCAGTGCATCTCCTGTGCCACCCCAGTGCATCCCCTGTGCCACCTCAGTGCATCTCCTGTGCCACCTCAGTGCATCTCCTGCTGTCCTCCAAATATTATTGGTTGCTAATTCTTTTCTCCATGTATTTTTCAGTCTTCTTTTGTATTTTTTGCCCTGTCAGTTTTAATGCAAGAACATTCTAGTGTTTTTCTAATGCTAAATTTTCTCCTCTCCTCTTAGCATTAGTTTTTGTGATACTTCTTCTTCTTCGCTTTCACCTGCTGTAAACTAAGGTGGAAAGTTCTGGATGTTGAATTAAGAATCAACAGCATAGCACTCTGTGAGTCAGTTACAATTGCTACATATGTGTTCATCTGATTCTCAGTCCAGCAGAAGGCAGCAGTGACTGCCTCCACCTCCATTCTCAGAAAACTTATATCAGGAGGCCGGTAGCCTTTATGAAAGCTATCGTGCAATCCATATCCTCTCGTGTACCATACAGTTTTGTCTTCATTGTGGTTGGAACAGGCCAGATTGCATCTCTGAGAAATTGCAGTTGATTTCTCCGTTCTCTCCTGTCCTGTATTTTTTTCAGTATCACATATTGAATCTAGTCTGGCACCTCTCTGTTGTCAGCATACAGTTGACAGTGTTGGAGCACATGCTCAGCATTTTCGGGTGCCACGCTGCAGGAACACGTCTCCTTATTTCCTACACAGAAAAATGTGAACATATGTTGACGAAATCTGTTTTGCCCAGTCCTTAGTCTGAATATAATACACTGTCCCTCTCTAGAGAGGCGATGAAGTGAGTCTTGGGGATAAAATTTGGTGTGGGTATCGAGCTACATTTCTTGGATATTAGATTGTATTAATGTTTTCGTCTCTTGGTGGGTTAAGTCGCTATTTGGTTGTACCATGTCACTGCCGCTTCTGGCCAATCTGTCTGCTATTTCATTGCCTTCCAAGCCACAGTGACCTAGAATCCACTGCAGTACAAGCTTTGTTGCACTAATCAATGTCTATTCACTTTTGCTACGAACCCTCATGTACTTCGTCTGCCTCTCAAAAAAGGAAAGTTCTGGTTGTTTATCCACTTCAGTGTTCCATTTTTACTGCACGTTTGTTTTACAGGTCTGTCTTATTTGTATGCAGACTTTTAGTTCTTTAGCTCTTAAGCACTCTTGACTAGCAAAGTTTTCTTCTCATTATATCAGTTCTTTCATATAACAGATTAGAACAGATGACCTCTGGTTGGATAGACTTTATTAATACAATCTGTTCAGCCATTTGCTCCTCACTCTTTTACTTATGTGGTCATTTTTAACGTGTTTTTTTAAAAATATTTTTACTGTGGGTTTTTCTTTTAAATTGCTCTTGTACTATTTTGGGAGATATAAGGTTCTGTTTCTTGCTCTTCTGGTCACCTCAGCTGTAGACACAGCATGCTGTTATTGTGGGTTAATGTTTTTTTGTCGCCTCTGTGACTAAGTCGATGCGAACACTTTGTAATGCCGGGGTGCCGGGTTTGATCCCAGCTGCGGGCCATGCACCTTGCGTTGGTTTCAACAGTGGTATCAGGGGGCCGACTGTCAAGAAAGCAGGCTGCTGGGGTTGGTTCTGCAACTTCCTGTAAAGGATACGCAACTAACCAAATGTTTTATTGTGGGTTAATGGCATTTATTTTTCTCATTATTTTCCTTTGCAGGCACAGCAGTTGGTAAACTTCTAACTCTGGGAGGTGTTGGCATATGGTGGATTATTGATGTTGTGTTATTAGTCACTGGAGAGCTTAAGCCTGCGGATAAAAGCAACTGGGTTCCGTACTTCTAGATGTGTAAAGGTACCAAGACATGTTGTGTACAGTCGTGTGTTATTTTTTTTTCCGTTTTACTTAAAATAAACAAAAATTATTTCTTGATCCTCTGGTTTTTTTTTATCAATTCATTATACTGTTTATATGTCACTGAGAAATTGCAGTTGATTTCTCCGTTCTCTCCTGTCCTGTATTTTTTCCAGTATCACATATTGAATCTAGTCTGGCACCTCTCAGAATGTGTAATAGGGCTTTTTTTTTTTTTTTTAGCATCCATGTGCCCTCAGTCCATTTTCTGACTTTAATACGTCACTAAAATTAATTTTACCTTACATTATACAGTATGTGGTATAGCAGCAAGACTCTCCTGCAGATCTGAATTTTGTGGGATGACACTGGCTCCCATGTCGGCCCATCCTTAAATGGGTACCAGGTAAAGTCCTGGGTGATAAAAGCGGCTGCTGTGATACTGATCACATCACCCACCAAGTGCCGATTGGTCTATAAATTATGGGTCTAGCCGCATTGCCTATTACATCTAAAGGTGTAGAAAATGTTCTTTTACTTCTTATTTGTGTTATAACATGGTTAACTTTCCATCAGTGTTCCATTTACTGTATTCAGATGGTATGTTTACTGGGGAGTATCTCCTCAACCCTCATTGTCTGCTGTTACTCACATCTGCATCTCTTCATATATTAATCTTTTGTTAGTCAATCACCAGACTTCCTTGTGTGAATTGTGACCACATTCTGATAGAGTTTGTTCTTCTGATCATCTGAGCGTGATTTACAGTTTTAATGTATTTGAGTGGGTCATCAATGAACTCATAGCACTCATAACTCTTTGTACTTATCAAGCTCTGGGAATTGTATGCAAATATGAGAAATTTAATTAAGTCAGCGCAAGTTGAACAACCTTTATACATATATGCTCTGACCTGGTCACCCGCCACCTGACAGTCACTTGTGATTATTTGTTTTTCCATGATTTGCTCAAGATGCCTTGATGCTTTGTATACTGCAGCGGACTTGATTTGTTAACTTTGTGTGAATAGTGTATCAAATATGGGATGCAAAGGTTCTGAGTATGTACTGGTGGGCCAGGGCCCAGGCACCAAATAGTCAAGACCTGTCTATTCATCTCCATGATCATCCTAGAAACAAGTTTCCAACTGGGGACCTGTCCAGCTGAGATTCTTGACGCACCAGTCTCTTATCAACAAAAGAAGAGAATAATCAAATCAATCTGAAAGCCACCAAAACCAGCAAAAGATGATTACCACCTAATGTACAGACCATAGCAAGTCATTTCTTAGAAAAGGACACAATCGACTTCGCAGCCACATGTACACAGAATTTAAGATTGGCGAATCAGCCATGTGTACATGTGGACTAGCAACGGAAACAGTTGATCATGTCCTTCAAGACTATCCCCAATACAACATATCAAGGCAAAACTTAGTTTAAAAAAATGTAAAAGTAAGTAAAGGTTCTTTTTCCACACCTTTTAGGTATATAGGGCTAGACCTATATTTTTATAGACCAGTCTGCACAAGATGGGTGATGTGGGCAGCATCATGCCGGCTGCCTTTACTTCCCAAGACTGCGCCTGGTACCCACTCTAGGCTGGGTCGACTTAGGCAAAACTTTTGGCCAAGAAAAACACTGGTGCACGCTGAACTTTATGGGTCGCTGATTGAATTACAACAGACTGTAAAGTTCATACTAGAGACAACGTTGCAGATATAGATAATCTATCTCAAGTGGACAAAAGAAGAAGAAGATAGGATCAACATTTCCTTAGAAGTTGGAGTGCATCTGCCGGAGAGGTGAGGAACTAATAGTCTGCATAAAAATGTGTCAGACCTGCAACATGCAAAGCTGAAGTTCTGGAATCAGACTAAAGTCTAGAAGAGGACAAACAACCAGAACTTCACGCTGCAGTTTATAGTCAATAAACACTAAAAAGTTTTTTTTTTTTTAATGATTTGTTACTTGTGAGTAACAATAAACTTAACTGTTTTATGAATAAATATTTATAAGCAGTGGAACCAGTGTGAATGTCTAAATGTAAGAAAAACAAATGATTGATGAATAAATTGAAGTTGAACAGATATTAAACAAGTTGTAGCAATTTTGTCCACAAAACGTATGGAAATGAACTACTCAGTGAGTCAGTCAGCATCTTTAAGGCATGCCAGAAAGTCTTACTCTAGTCAGTTCTCCGGCCATGATCTGCCTTCATAGCCAATGCATCTTCAATGTCCTGTATCCACATCCATGGAGGTCAGCCTCTGCTGTCTTTTCTGGAAATACACCCTCCATTACTATTTTTTCCAGACCACCATAGTGCTTAACTTGTCCAAAATACCTCAGTTTTTGGGAGAAGATGCTGTTTATGAGCCAGTTCTCCTTGAGATTTTGGTCATGCAGGATGTTGACGTTTTTCTTTTTTCTTGGTCCATTGCATTCTAAAAACTGTTCTGTAGCATTTCAGTTCAAAAGATCGTATTTTTTCTTCAAAGACAGAGTGAGAGCCCATGACTCACATCCATAAGTTGCCACAGGAAAGATGCATGATCTCAAAATTTTACTTAACTTAAATTGCTTGCAGGTGCTACGCTTTAGGTTCTTCATGCTGTTTAGCCCCAAAAGTTGACAAGATCAGATTTTCTTTTTTAAAGACAGACAGAGAGTCCATAATTCACATTCATAAGCTGCCAGTGGAAAGATGCATGATCTCACAATTGGTACTTCAACTTGCTTGCAGGTGCTGTGCCATAGGTGTCTCTTTGTTGTTGATTTTCATACTTGATTGGTGTGTTTTATTCATCACTGAGCCTTGTATTCAAAACCTCTTACATTTTCAGTCTCTTTGTTGTTGATTTTAATACTTAATTGGTGTGCTGTATTCATTTCTTCTTCTTCGCGTTCACCAGCTGTAAACTCTGGCGGAAGGTTCTGGTTGCTCGTCCACTACTGAACTGCAGTCCTGCTCCAGAACCTGAGTGTTGCGTGTGCATCAGTTTTACAGATCTCATTCTCTTGAATACAGACTGTTGGTTCCTTGCCTCTCCGGCAGATGCACTCCGACTTCAAAGGAAGCTCCCCAATTAGTCGACTCTTACGACATGCTTTTGGGAAGGCAGTGGGTCTATTTTTGTTTTTCCCACAATGGGGCCCCGGAACCCACACAGGGGTATTCATCACTGAGCCTTGTATTCAAAACCACTTACATTTTCAATCTCTTCGTTGTTGATTTTAATACGATTGGTGTGCTGTATTCATTGTGGACTATATTTTAGCTTTTTTCAGATTCAGATATAGATTCTCTTCCTTGCTGTGCTTTTTTTGACAGAATATTAATTTTTCTAAATTTTGTAGGAAAGGAGAACCGTGTTGTCTGTGCCCAGTTTAGAATGGATAAAAGCTATACTAGAACCATTTAAAATGCATGGCTTAATTCTATGAGCCACTACTCATTATATTAATTTCAAAATACCTGAAACCACTGATTTGACATTAGTGATCCATTTGCTGACAAAGATTTGCTGTATTTTTGAGCTCAGATTGTTTACATATCTCATTTTGAACCTAGGATATATGTTGCCTTTAATTTTGCAGCATTCTGTTCAAATTCTGGGTATTTCCATAATTTTGGATTTCTTCTTCTTTGCGTTCACTTTAGCTGATGTAAACTCTGCCAACAAGCCCTGGTTTCTCTTCCATTCCATGTCTGTACTTTAGTCTTGTTCCAGAGCTTGAGTTGTGTGTGCACATCTGTTTGACATATTTGTTTTACTTGTCTGCAGATTGTTGGTTACTCACCTCTCAGACAGATGCACTCTCACTTTAAAGATTACTTTATGACATGCTTGTTGGTAGTGGAGGACAGTGAGTCTATCTCCTCCCCCCCCCCCCCCCCCCCCCCCCCCCTTTACAATGGGGCCCCGGAACCCACAGTGGAAATTTGGAACTAAGAAAAAGAAAAGTGTTCTTGGATCCCATTTTTCTTTACATAATTATGTTTGTATTGACTATTTCATAATGTAAGCATTTGTGGTGAAGATAGTGCACCACAGAAAGCTTCCCCTGTCACTAAGACACAATGGAAGCAAAGCTAAAGATATGCAGCAATGAATAAATAGAATATCTGAGGCCATGAATATCAGCATCTACAGAGCATACAGTAGATCCCTCTTCAAAACCAGACACTGAGAGACAGTACATAGGTTAGAGAAAAGAAAATAATGTATATTCTAGTTTCCAGTTGTTTACTACCTTCTCAACCACCTGTTCCTTCCCCTCTATATCACAGAGTGTATCAAGTTGGGGGTTATAGTCTAACTTAAAACCAGATGCTTAGAGACAGTACAGTGGTTAGAGAAAAGAAAAAGAAGAAAATAATGTATGTCCTAGTTTCCAGTTGTTTACTACCTTCTCAGCTACCTAATCCTTTCCCTCTGTATCACAAACAGAGCGTATCCAGTTGAGGGTTATAGCCTTTACTGGTTTGAAGAACTCTGAAAGGCAGATAAAGATCTTTTATTTGTCTTCTGTTTTTCCTCCAAGGGACACCAGCAGAAATATAACTATGGTGATAATAAAAGAACATTGTGTATACTAATCTTCTGATCACTTTCTGCTAATGAGGAAAAAACTAAAACCCCATGTAGCTCTCTTAAACAATATGTGAACTATAAACTTGTCAGAATAGATGTCTGAAGAGAATCATGTGAATAAATAAAGAAATGAACAAGAAAATAAAATGTTCATCACTGGTAATGTTATCAAAGGAAGAATATAAAGATGGGCTTGGGTATGTATTTAGATGCCCCGTAACATTTTGGCAAAGACGGCTCTCTGGTCAATGCTATATGGGAAACTAAAATGGATGACTTAAGGAAACCTGTCGAAGGACCATAGAAAGAGATATTAAGGAACGTAAAATGACATGGGATACCATGGGCAGATGTAGATTAGTTGTGAAGCCTTATGTGTCAACAGTGACATGA